TAGGTCATTTCAGAGAGAGGACATTTCTATTGTCTGTTTTCACTGGGCAACTGACTCCCTTTTGCTGCCCGTTAGAATTTGTGGGTTTGGTGGGAGAGGCTTAGCTTGAGTGATACGGGTAAACCGATAGAAAGGCGGAAAGTTTTGCATTGATTTACAAAGGTTTTGCATACTGTTGCTTTAAGTCTAGATAAGCCTTTTGGCGTTGGGACATTGTTGGAACCACACTAGGGGTTTTGCGTATTTGTGCTCTCTTAGCCACATCCAGGTTGGAAAGGATGTCCAACAGCACTCAAAGTGCTGGGACAAAAATATGAGGGCAGTAAAAGATGCAATCCTTTTGGGATGCAGGAATGCTATATGCAAATGTTGGCAGGGCCGATAAAACATTTGGTGAAACAGACTGAGACAAAATGGCTTTTGAGCTTCTATTCTGACAAAAAACAAACTTTGTTGATGGAGAAGTGTGTGCGTGTGCGTGTGTGTGTAAGCATGCGTTCGTTATGTAACCTGGCAGGAGGTGCGTGAGTCTCTGGGGAGAGATTAGACATTCGAGTGTTGGTCCGGACACAAAGCACACCTGCTGCCAAACAGACACATGTGGACACACACACGCACATACTGCTGATGGAGTCTATTGCCAGCATCCCAGAAAGTGACATTTAAGAGACACAAATAGAAGAACAGAAGCATTTTGCTGGGTGTCTACTTGTAGATTTGAATTTTTTCATTCACAGAAACAGTTTAATGCATATGCACACACACACACACCCCCATCATAAAGGGCTAATCCCTCGCCTCATTCACACACACACACACACTCTCACACCCTGACGGCTAGCGGCAATGTTCCAGGTGTAATTATAGAAAGTTTTGCCCCCTGATTACAGCTGGTAAATGGCTTTGACTTCCATCTCTGCTGGATTTCCGCAGGAGGTTTTTCCACTTGTCCAACTAAGGTTATCTAACTTTAATGAGTTTTTCCCTTCCTGCGGCAAAGTGACGGAGTGTGATTGGCTCACCTCAGTGATGGTCTGAGAGCCCCTGAGGGTTAATGTTTCGCCCCCCTCCCCCACTCGCTCTGAGGTTTGCTGCTGTTGGAGAGCTGGAGGCATGCCCTCAGGTCAGTGCGAGACCTCCGGAGCTTTCAGGTCGGTTGTTACAGACACTTCAAACGCTGTGAGAAATGACCTCAGGGCTGGTGGAGAGTTCCCACTGATCTCAGTGCAGGTGTTCTGAATATGGTGGACAATGCATCAGGGGTAATGAACAGCTCCCACAGGTCTGATTTAAACAGTAACCGGTAACAGCGGGTCATTAAGAGCATTAATGAAGAAAGTGGAAAGTCCCTGAAACAAAGTGCTGTCTTCCTAATTTAGAGCTAATTTGGGCTTCATGCTGGCAAAACAGAAATTATTTATAGTGTTTCCAGTTAAGAAAGCAGGTTAAATAGTATTTGATGTTATGGCAGTTTCTGATCTGTTCTTTGTGTTTCTTCTAGCCATCATGTATGTGATGGGAGCCCTGGGACCTGCAGCTGGCTACTTGCTGGGAGGCGTCCTCATTGGCTTCTACGTCGACCCCAAAACTGTAGTCAACATCGACCAGAGTGACCCTCGCTTTGTTGGCAACTGGTAAATATGCATGTGTATCTGTATGACTAACAGAAGCCTTTATGTGTGTTTCCTGTGTGAATATCTATCTGTTCTCAATTGCCTTTTAACAGCCCATTTGTTGTTTCTTCCATTCAGGTGGAGTGGCTTTCTCTTGTGCTCCGTAGCCATGCTCCTGGTCATCTTTCCCATGTTTGCCTTCCCAAAAAAGCTGCCTCCTCGCCACAAAAAGAGGAAGAAGAAAAAGATCGGCTCACCCGGTGACGTGTCCAGCGACGACGACGTGATGAAGGAAAAGTCAAGTAGCAAAGGCCAGAACGTCTCCTCTTCCATGGGCTTTGGAAAGGACATAAAAGGTGAGGAACAGATAATGAGCCTTTCTTTCCCACCTCTGGAGATATTACAAGTACCTCACATACAGTAAAGGAACTGTGAGCTATTGGTGTACAAATGGCCCATAATCCAATCAATGGCCAGGATTAGCCATTTTATCTAATCGTGAAAGCTCCACAAGATGTTATTGATTTGTGATGGATGAGGTTGTTCACACAGTTGACTAATGAAGCAGGTAATTCACTGTAAACACAGGCAATTTCTAGTGGATATTGGGTTTTATTGACTATTAAATTAATAGTAAACATTGCTAAAGGTCACATAATATTGCTGTCAGTTGAGGACGTCATGTTTTGTTTAGCAACGTTGATTTTAAATTGAGGACAGTACATTTTTGACATTATACATCTCAAAGAAACAATCATGCGTTACTCACTAAACATTTAAATTACAAAAATTGGAGATGGTGCTTGTTAAACTGCTTGCACGTGTGCACCTTTGGGCTTTTATGTCTTCTCTGAGCCAGATATACCAGGAATCTCCTGGTTTTCCCAGGGAGAGCCCTCTGGTTAAGCTGAATTGTGTTCCAGTGTTTCCCAGTTTCCTCTTATTTGATTTATTTTCTCTCTGCCAGACAGCTCTCTCTTTCTCTCTCTTTCTCTCTCTCTCTTAAATGAGCTCTCAAGGGAACTCAGTCACGTTTCCACACACAGGAGTAGACTGATTCGGCAGCAGAGCAAATCTGTAGCATACATGTTTGCTCTCTCACTCTTCATTACATACTAAATAACCAAAGGGAATTTGAACATGTATTTAAACAGGTGCATAATCATAAATTCATATTTATGTGCATTCGCCAGAGAAGTCAGAGCAGGATTTAGTCTGAGAGCAGATAACGCGTACTGTAAGCATGAATGCATTATAGCTTTTTCAGGCGAGTGTCGGCTCTCCTGCTGTTTTACTTGTCCCAGCAGGATGTTTTGAGCTGTTGTGCAAACTGTGGCTGATTTTGCAGTCGGGCACTTCAATGTTTGGATCTGTAATGTATTTTGGTGCTGTGCCTGTCCTTCTATTGAGGTGTATGTGTTTGTCTATAGCACAAATTCAGCACTTTTTGTGAAAGATATGCTGAACTGAAGTGTATTTGTTTGCCCTTCAGATCACCAACAAACACTGAAAAATGCTAAGGCTGAATATTTTGAGTAATGCAGAGGGACGCACTTTTGATTATGGAATGTTTTCAAACCTTGGTCAGCTGCTGTTTGCAAGCAATTCTTAACATTTCTTGGATTTAGCATTTCATAGAATTTTAGTTGAATAACATGCTGTATACCACAATGATTTTTCAATAGCCGATTACTTAGATTAGATTGTCAGTTTACAGTTACAATGTTTTATAAAGTCTTCATGGTCAAAACATGCACTTGTATCAGCTACAGTGCCTTTACAGATATTATAAATAATGTGCTATTATCACCCGTCTCTCCTCATAAAGAAGTGTTTTTTCAAAAAAGCATATGGATGAAACAATCCGACAGTCATCAAATAAATCCTCACAAAAAATATCAAGTGTGGCAACTATTGCGAGCCAATGGTCTGTCTGATTGAGAGAGCAGCTGCTGTAGAAGTCAACAGGAACTCACCATCTGTCCCCCTCCAGACAAGATTATAGCCCAGCTCCACAGGAATGAAATAATTAGCGTCACTATTCTACTCATACCTTTTGATCTGAGATAACACTGACAGATGCTAACATTGCCCCACCTACAACAAGATTAGTTGAATTAGTGCTGAGACTGCTATCCCCAAATCAAGGCACCGTGCCACCCAGTTAGGCTGGCCAACAACATAATAACCTCCCATATAAAAGGCAGTAATAATCCACTTTACATACTTCCTGCCTTTTCTTTTTTTGTTCTTTCTTTGCGTGTGAAGCATGGGAATGATAACCTTATGACTGTAAAGTCATAATATTTGCCTTCAGCCCAAGGCTTAAAACACCCCAGACACACAGAACTGGACAGAACAAGCGATCGAGGAGATGCCAGCTGGGTGCTCAGTTAGATTGAGCTGTCCCCAGCCAAATGTTGTGGAGTCTTACTTTTGTTTCTAAATGCGGCTCTTGACAGATCAAGTAAAATGCAAAAATCTAAAAACCTGAGCATAATGTTTTAGTTTGAAAGGCTCTAAAGAATGCTTCCTTTGGTTGACATCCTCCCTCATCTTTTATCCCACAGAAACAGTAGTTAAGGTCAAGGGTAGTCAACACAAAGTTTTTCTGACTGGAATCAGCCCCTAAAGTTCAAATTAATTTAAATAGCAAAGCGTTTTGTGCACACAAGTGTCCTCGCTTCTTTAAGCTACTGATCATTATTTTTGATGGAAGGACCTTTCCTGGCCTTTTGGATTTAAGCTGCATAAAAAAGCAAAAAGAAAATCTCTTTGGTTTCCTGTCTCTTGCTGTCTTTCCGTTCATAAACCGCAAACATTTTT